AAAAAAAAAAAAAAAAAAAAGAAAGTAAAATATTTTCGTCAAAAAAAGAGGAGGAGGAGAAGGCTGAACCCTCCTCCACAGTCTGCAGAGTCCCCTCCTTAACCCCCAATGATTATTCTGTACGTCGTAATCCACCTTAACCCCGGTTGCTTGGGGTTACCTTCTTCCCCCGAAGACAACGCACCCTCATTTTGGCTCCACCTGACCGGAAATATAGCTTGTATACATTCATTATAAGGGTGCGTTATGTTTGGTGGAAGACGGTAAAAACAACAACGGCTGGCCCAACGACTGATACTCAGGGGCGAGGTTCCACTGCTCGGTAGCAAAAGAGGATTGGACTTAACGCCTGAATCTGGACGTCTTTGTGGAGAGGTGCAGAAAATCGTGATTGATCTGCTGCTTTCTGCATCTTCTCTGCGTATAAGGCGTCCAGATTCAGGGGCTTAATCCAGTCCTGTCTTTGCTATAGGGAGATCCCGCCTGAGGTGGTGGTGGTGGGGACCACCAACCACTTGCCTCAAGGGTACCTGCGATGAAATTCAAAGCATACTACTATAGGCCTCTCGCTCCACCACACAGCATTCTAAATGTATCTGAACCTATTATGAGGTCCGGTACAACCGATCAGTCCTACCAAGTGTATCTAGTCTTGTTGGCCGTTCAGATACTTTTCGAATCTTGAGTAGTGGAGCGAGGCCCTCTCACTCTCCCACACTAAACGGAAAACTCAACGGATTCCTCTTAGGCAATTTAGGAGCCACGTGTACGCAGAATGCTATTTAGGATCCACGTGTCACGCTGAATGCTATTTAGGAGCCATGTGTCATGCTGAATGCTATTTAGGGGCCACGTGTCACGCTGAATGCTATTTAGGAGCCACGTGTCACGCTGAATGCTATTTAGGAGGTACGTGTTTCCCAATTAGTGAAACTTCTCTTACCCTATAAGGGAATTTAAGAGCCACGTGTCACGCTGAATGCTATTGCACGCCATTTTTCTGAATTTGGTTTTACTAATTTATTTAATTTTATTAATTTATTTAAATTTATTTAAATTTATTATTATTATTATTATTTTTTTTTAATCTCGAAAATATTTGTATATTTATTTTCAATGTCGGGCCACGTGTCACGCACGACATCGGGCTTGTTTCCGATCATAAACCGGTCGCCCGACGTAGACCAGGTTCTTCGGACAGTCCAGACTCCGACCCGGATTCGGATCCGCACAAAGACCAGGCGGCCCGAAAAGAGCAGGGTCCCAATGCGGAAGGATCATTAAAAAAAAAAAAAAAAAACACGGCAAATCAACCTCTCTCTCTCTCTCCCCCCCCCCCCAATCAATATAGATTTGGTGCTTTGGGGGCATAAGGTCAATGTTTTATTAGAGATTAAAAAAAAAAAGAGAAAGAAAAAAATAAAATTGATCTAGGTCCTCTCGTCCCCCCTCCCCCAGAAAAGAGCATGTTCTTAATGCGCAAAGCTCACGGCAAATCTTTTTTTTTTTTTTTTTTGGCAACCCATTTATCATTGCTGACAACAGCACGGCAAATCAACATACGTCTCTCTCTCTCTCTCTCTCTCTCCCAGTCAATATAGATCTCGTGATTTGGGGCCATGAGGTCAATGTCGAATTAATAAATAAATAAATAAATAAATAAATAAATAAATAAATAAATAAATACAGATCGAGGTCTTCTCGTCGTCTTCTTCCTCCTCCTCCTCCTCTTCAATTTTCATCTGCCTCTCTTCCTCCTCCTCCTCCTCTTCAATTTTCATCTGCCTCTCTTCCTCCTCCTCCTCCTCCGCGTGGCTTTGTTTTCCTTTCCCTCTCCTTCTCCTGCTGCTCCTCGTTGTCCTCCTTTTCCTCCCAGATCTGTTTTCCTTTTCCACTCCTCCTCGTCCTCCTAGCTCTGTTTTCCTTCTGCTACCCACCACCTCCACCTCCTCTCTTCCTAGCTCTCTTGCTCCTCGTTGTCGCGCCTCCGCCTCCGCCTCCGCCTCCGCCTCCGCCTCCGCCTCCGCCTCCGCCACGGCCTCCTCCATCACCTTTCTACCTCCCCCTCTCCCTCCCCCTCCAGTTCCCCCTCCCTCTCTCCCTCCCTCTCTCCCTCCCGTTCCCCCTCTCCCGTTCCCCCTCCCTCTCCCCTTTCTTCTCCCCCTCCCTCTCCCACTCGCTGCCTTTGTTTCTCCCTCCTCTCTCGTCCTAACTCGGGATCGTTCCAACCCCTTTTTTTTGGTTTTTACGAAATGATCAAAATCCTAACATTCCTCGCCGCCTTGCGCCCCGCTGCTTGTCTGCATACTCCGCTTCGCCCTCCCCTACTGCTGCACATCCCCCCTCTTCTCCCTCTCCTCCTCTTCCTCCTCCTCATTCTCCTCCCCCTCCTCCTGCCCTCGCTCTCTCAAAGGAACGTGTCTGAACTATTCAATCTGGGAAAGAAGATAACGCCAGTCTTTTCACCTTCATCCCCTATACCGCAAATTGCCCCCCTTTCCTGCCCTATCTTCTTTCCTCCTTCCCCTCTCTCCCCTCTCCCCCCTCTCCCCCCTCTCCTCCATCGTTATTTCTGCTAGATGGCGTGGGAAATGGCAGAGGGAATCAAAGTTCTTTTGACAAGAGATAAATCACCAATAGAGGAGCAAGAGCATTGATCTGACTGTTGTGTGTGTGTGTGTGTGTGTGTGTGTGTGTGTGGAGAGAGAGAGAGAGAGAGAGAGAGAGAGAGAGAGAGAGAGAGAGAGAGAGAGAGAGAGAGAGAGAGAGAGATTCCCACCCAGTCTGATGAGATCTGACACATTGTCACCAGTTAGTCGATATTGGCATGATATTTGTCGAATCCGTTGAGTGCCATGGTATGCTGGTCTACATCGAAGAGAGAAGGCAGGGAGGAAGAAGAAGACGGAGGAGGAGGAGGTGAAAATGAAGAGGACAATTGTCTTGCAAGGGGTGCACAGTTCAGCGATGTATGTCTGTGTGTGGGGGACATTATTTAACCATGTATGCCTGTGTGTGGAAGTGAGTTGCCACCACCGCCCTACTCTCTCCCTCCCTTCCCCCTCTGCTGTCCTCCTCCTCTCTCTCCCTCCTCTTCCTCCTCTTCCTCCTCCTCTCTCCCCCTCCTCTTCCTCCTCCTCTATCCTCCTCCTGTCTCCCCCTCCTCTTCCTCCTCCTCTCTCCTCCTCCGGTCTCCCTCCTTTCCTCCCTGCAGAGCTACCGATGTACTATGCTGATGGGGCCTTGGAACTGTTTTTTTTTTTTTTTTTTTTTTGCCTCGATGTGCGACAATGTGTGACAGGGCAGATGCTCAAGTAGCAAAAAGTTACAAGGACTTATTTGCAATTGCCAAGTTTCACAATACAATAAAAATAACAGACACTAACGATGGAGAAGAAAGGACTCTCGGAGAAAGTTCAGCAGCTAAAGGTTATCCACTTACTCTCAGGCTCACCTCCCTCCTTGCTTAACTCTCTTCTCTCTTTCTGTCTCCCCTTCTCCCTCTCGCTTTCTCTCTCTCCCCCTCCCCCTCTCTCTTTCTCTCTCACTCTCTCTTTCTCTCTCTCTTTCTCTCTTTCTCTCTCTTTCTCTCTCTCTCTCTCTCTCTCTCTTTCTTTCGTTCTCTCTTCCTCTCTCTCTTTTTCTCTCTTTCTCACTCTCTCCCCCACTGTTCTCCTCCCTCTTTTCTGTTCATCGGCTTGCCTGTCCGACTCTCTCTCTCTCTCTCTCTCTCTCTCTCTCTCTCTCTCTCTCTCTCTCTCTCTCTCTCTCTTTCTCTTTACACTTCTGTCCATCTATCCATCTCTCTTCCTTTTTTTCATTACTCTTTTTGTCCCAGATAGGACTCTCTCCTTCTCTTTCTAGACCTCTTTCCCAATTGTTTTCTCTCTCTCTCTCCCTCTCTCCCTCTAAAAGTCTCTCTCTCTCTCTCTCTCTCTCCCCATTTCTTTCTTGATCTTCACCACTCTCATTTCCCGTTTTCACACTAGAACTTCATGGACCGCATCTGGCCGCCGCACTAGAACTTCCTGGAGTGAGGTGCGGTCAGATTCGCTCCCGAAAGTTCTAGTGTGGTATGCACTCTTTTTGCATCCCTGTTCTGTTGTGCGAGTCAGCCAATCCTATCAATCAGATAAGGAGGGCATCTTATACCCCCCTATACGGCCAATCCTATTAATTAGATGGGGGGGGGGGTATCTAATACCCCCTAATACCCTATACAGCCAATCCTATCAATCAGATAGGGGGTGTATCTTATACCCCCCTATATCCGATACAGCCAATCCTATCAAATCAGATATCGGGGGTATCTTATACTCCCCTATACAGCCAATCCTATCAATCAGATAGGTGGGGTATCTTATACCTCCTCCCCCCCCCCCCCCC